TGACCAGACACCCTTTTTCCTGTGTGGCATCAGCCCTCATCACTGCCAGCTCAAGTTCAGGAATTCCTGCTGTGTTTGCCTGAGTCCATGCTCTATGAGGAGGTTGGGGATCCTAAAGGGATTGAAGGACAGGCTTGGAGTATTCCAGGTGGGCCTCCCATCCCCTCCCACTAGAGTTTTTCTGGCAGCTCCTGACCCTGCTCTTGCAGGACTGTTCCAGCTGGAGCCAGTCCAGAGCTTGGCTCAGGCCAGGGCACTGCTGGGGCCGCTGCTTCATCCACTGGCCTCTGTATCACCTATGAAGTGTGCATAAGGGCCCCTGCCCCGCCCAGATCACAGGGTTGCATAAGGAGCCTGTGGGCTGCCATGTGGAGACAAGTTTCTCTGGTTAACTCAGGGACCCCCTTCAGCTCTGACATGCGTTACTCACACCTCTAACCCATCAGCATCACAGAGGGGAGCCTGCCCTTGCTCTCCCTTTGGGAGATGTGCTCTGTGAAGGTGGGTCGGGCGGGAGGAGCTGGTGGGGTGGAAGCTGGGAGGCAGAGGGAGGGAAGGAAGGAAAGAATGGACAGGGGTTTGTTTTATTCTTATCATTAAAGTCTTTGAGGGCTTCCTCTCTCTTGGAGACTGTGCTGTATGTGCTCATTGGCTGCTCATCGCAGGACCATGAGACTACAATCGCGTTATCCCCACTTTGTGTCCTCAGTTGTGTCCAACTCTTTGTGACCCCATGCACTGCACCCCTCCAGGTTCCTCTGCCCATGCGATTTCCCAGTCAAGAATACTGGAGTGGGTTGCCATTACCTACTCCAGGAGATCCCAACCCAGGGATTGAACCCAGGTCTCCCTCATTGCAGGTGGATTCTTTACCAGCTGAGCCACAAGGGAAACCCAAGAATACTGGAGTGGATAGTCTATCCCTCCTCCAGCGGATCTTCCCGACTCAGGAATCAAACCGGTGTTTTCTGCATGGCAGGCGGATTCTTTACCAACTGAGCTATCAGGGAAGTTCTTGGCTGGTACCTATGGTTATTTCAACTGATAGCCTGTGGGGGCAGCAGAGAGCCACTACCCAGCCAAGAAAATGAACCAATCATGAACCAGGAGTCTACTGGTGGGTGGGGCAGAGGGTGGGCGGTTCAGGGCGAGCCGGGGAGGGGGGCAAGGCTTACAGATCCTCCATAGACCGATCACCAAGACCAGTGGCCTAAGTCCAGGGGCTCACTGACTCTCCCAATACTTGTAATGCATGCAGGAAGTGGCCTTAACAAAGGGAGGTGAAGTTTAGAGGTGACTTTAAAGTTAATAACTCCTGCTTGCTTTTATTTTTTTTTAATAATCGTAATAATGGTTATGATTATTTTAAGGAGGGGGTATCAGTGCACGATTTACATCACTTCCCACCTTTCAACTACACTCTCTCTTTAAAAGTTTTATTCTACACAGAGCAGCTGCTGTAATCCACTAATGGGGAAGTGGAAATTTCTGGCTTTTCACGTGGTTGGCTAGAATAGCAACCTCCCTTGGTTTGATTTGATCCACGCTCAGCAGTCAGCTCATTTGTGTGTGTCTGGATCCCCTGGTTTCAGGGGGAAAAGTTCAAGTTGAGTTAGAGTTGCGTTTAGAAATCAAACATGTTTTCTCATGAATTGGGTGGTCAGAAGCTTTCCAAGCGAGGGTCTCACTCCTTCTATTCTGTCTTCACTGATTTCCCTGCGTGGAAGCAACTATTAGGAGTCTGGGTGGTCACCTGGAATGACCTAGAGCCCCAGGATGGAAGCTCAGAGGACGCAAAGGGGCCCCAGTCCAGGGTAACTTGAGCCCCAAGCTGCCACTTCAGTTTTGCTTTGGTGCTTTGGCTCTATCAAGGAGCCTGGTGTGCTGTAAATAGATTAGGGAGTCTCTTAGTGGAAAAGACCTGGGAATGGCTTCCTCCCTGTGGGTGGTGTGGTCATCTGGGGCAATTTTCCTGCTGTGGATGAGATCATTCAGCTAGAGCCCCAGGGACTCTCTCCAGACGTCCGCCTGGGCTGGCCCTGTTCCTGCCCCAGGCTTGAAGTGGCTTTGTGTTTTGTGTTGGCCTGAGCTGGCCAAGACCAGGAGGTGGACTAGGTGGAATCCTTCAGGCATCTGCGTTGTCCCTGATGGAGCCCTGGCAGAGGTTGGGCAGAGAGATTCAGTCCTTACAGAGATAAGGGTCTCCAGCCTCTGGGGGCCAGTGAGTGACCCAGGCCAGTGAGTGCAGGGCACAGGGCCTTCCTTCAGAACCCAGCATCTAGAGTGGGATTCTGACTGCAGGCAGCATCTTCCTGTGATTTCAGAGCCTCCTCTCGCAGGCCCCTGGGAGGGCTGCAAGGAGAGAGAGGCATTGTTGTTGGAACTTGACAAATGGACACGATTCTGACACCCAGAGTAGGGGAAGGAGGTGACTGGGGGTGTGAACAGCTACGGCAAAGACGTTCAGAGACCAGTGAGCCTGTTACCTGGGCTGGAGTGAGGTCAGCGTGGGTCCGTCTGGACAGACAGACAAGGTGCCTGTGCTAGAGCCTTGCTGGCTGAGAGGTGGGGTGGTGGGTGAGGGCAGATGCAAAGTTTTGACTTTATTCTCTGTGCCATGTTGGAAAAGGCTCCACAAGGGACTCTCCAGGTAAGCGCTGACCCCCAAATGAGGAGACACGTTAGGGGTGAGATGGAATGAGGAATGTGATGGAGCGGGGTGCCTCCAGGCTCCAGAGCCTGGAACTGATTGGAGGTGGGTGGGGGCACCCTGGAGGAGCTGGTGAAGCCATGCAGGTTGGTCCCCAGAGCCGCGGGGGGCCAGGTTGGAGGAGAGAGCCTAAGCTGAGTGCTGTGGGCGGGCGGGCAGCAGTGTGGTCAGGCCGATCCGGCAGCAGAAAGGAAGGTCTCTTTGGAAACAAGACTGAGGCTTCAGGCTACGTCTGGTCTCAAGGGGAGCCCACCTCATGTTGTAGGGAGGCTATTTTCTCATCTGAATTTCCCCCACATTTTCACATCCAGCCTCCATGATCTGTTTGCTTTATTCAACTCTGATAAGGCACCTACTGTGTGCCCCTGTCATCCTGTTTCATGCTATTACAGTCTTGCTTAGGTACCATCTTCATCCCCATTTTACAGTTGAGAAAAGCAAAACACAGTTGGCTTCCAAAGGTCACAGGTCACGAGTGGCCACGCCTAGAACACTTTGCACTGCCCTCGACCTCCAAGCAGGTTTGTGGTCTTCACATAGTCTCCAAGTCATGGTGCTCTCAGCTCCAGCACAAGTGTCCCTCCTCCTCCAGGAAGGCCACTGAGCCTGCCCTCTGGTTATCCCTCCTGGAAGACCCCTCTGCTCTCTTGTTCCTGGTCACATTCTCCCGGCAGCTTCCCTTGCTCACCCATTTTCTCTCCCTTGAGACGTGAAAGAGCCATATTATCACCCAACTGCTCGAGCCATAATACCCTAAAGCCCAAACAGTAGGTCTCAAGATTTTGATCAAAGTCTGGGGGCAATACTCTTGGGGCCTAAAAGACCAGTCAGCCCAACACTTTCATTTTAGGTAAAGAATCAGAGGGCCAGAGAGGTAGCGTGACTTGCCCAGGGCTGCCTAGCAGATGAGAGGCAGAACTGAGGCAAACAGCCCAGTTCTCTCGAATCTCCACTGAGAGAAGCCATTGGAAGGTTGTGCTTGTTTTTGTTTTCAGTATTTGAAACAATTGGATTTTCAGTAATAGAATTTTGGATTCAATAATGTCATGTCCATATATTGGATCAACTTTAACAATAACTTGACACTAAATACTTGTAAATGGGCATTTGGCATGAACACAGCGCTGTCTTGGGTGGATGCCATTCTTGGTCTCGTTTTACAGAGGAGGAAACGAAGGCACCAGGGGAACAATGAGCTTGGTGGAGATCAAACTGGTGATGAGAGGCAGAGCTAGTTCAGACCCAGGCATCTGGCTCTAGACTCACTGCTTTTACTCGGTGGCTCAGATGGTAAAGAATCTGCCTGCAATGCAGGAGACCCAGGTTCAATCCCTGGGTCAGGAAGATCCCCTGGAGAAGGAAACAGCAACCCATTCCACTATTCTTGCCTAGGAAATCGCATGGACAGAGGAGCCCAGCCGGCTACAGTCCATGGAGGTCGCAGAGTCAGACACAACTAAGCGACTCACAGTCACTGTGTTGTCGGGCCTTTTTGTTGTTTTGGAAAGATGCCCAGAGAAGTCCAGCTCCATAGTTGCAGAGTTCAGGGTTCACTGCAGCATGTGGGGGTCTTAGTTCCCCAACCAGGGATTGAACCCGTGTCCCCTGCATTGGAAGGCAGATTCTTAACCACTGAACCTCCAGGGAAGTCCCAAGAAGGCATTGCTTTTATCAGTAGATAACTTAATAAGAAGTCTCTGCTCACAGCTGTGAAATGGGTGAAGTAGCGTTTGGGGGCTGATCATATAGCTGCAATATTAGCTTTATTTCTGGCTGGGTATCGGAGGAGAGAGAGAAGTGTGTGATCAAACACAGCAGCTATAATTCACACAAGGTGTGGAATTGGAGAAGCAGGAAGGAAGTCACCTTCGTAGGACACAGTACCTGGGTCTCTGTCCAGACCCAAGGCTCCTTCCTTTGGGCTTTGGGGTTTCAGATGACAGTGGGCATTTGGGGAGTGATGAGCAGTTGGCAGCTGGGGTTCCAGGATAAGGAACTGAAGTGGAGATGTGTGAGGAGGGAAGGGAGGGGCATTGGGGACTGTTTCAGAGGGTCCCAACCAGAAGGCCACCTTCTGGTCCCAGCTTCATGGAGAAGGGTCCCCAGTAAAGAGCAGCTTTGTTGCCGGGGGGGGTGGGTGGCAGGAGAGGCAATTATATGGGAGCAGAAGGCAGACTCCAGCTTCCTGGAGTCAGAGAGGCAGGTGATCCATTGCTGCTCTGTGACACTCAGAGCTTCTGCCCTAGGAAATTCTCAATACGATTTTCTTTCTTCTTCTTTCTTTGACCAGAGACCACCTGGGAGCGTCCCAGCAGTTCTTCTGGGATTCCAGCCAGCCCTGGCCCTCACAGGAGCTCTCTGCCTCCAACAGGTACTGTCCACGTGCTGTCTCAGGGCGTCGGGATGGACCACACTCACACACACCTTCACGGGAGAGGCCAAGCCTCTGGAGCCTGGATCTGAAACCCGGCTGTGGATCTCATGGGCCAAACCCGGGAGGGGTCTCGAGGGCTCGGAGGCCCCATAGGCTGTTGCCCTGTGGGATGGTTTCACCCTGGCACTGCCAGCTGCAGCTCTGATCTCTCTCACTCCCCTCGGGTGCTTAGAGGAGGGGGATGGCTGGGTGAGGTGAGGCGGCAGAGCTCTTACCTGTCTGCCAGCGTGGGGACCTGAGCAGCGGCAAACTCGCTCCACGTGGTTTCAGAAGACATCAAGGGGTAGGAGTTAAGGAGGCAGATGTTTACTCCTAGCGTGGCGTCTTTAGGTCTCCTCCACCACTGAGAAATCAAAATGTGATGCCAGCGCATTATTTAGTGAAGACTGCCGGGCTTCCCTGTTGGCACTCATGGTAAAGAACCCACCTGCCAGTGCAGGAGACGTGAGAGACACAGGTTCAATCCCTGGGTCTGGAAGATCCCCTGGAGAAGGGCATGGCCACCCACTCCAGTATTGTTGCCTGGAGAATCCTATGGACAGAGGAGCCTAGTGGGCTATATAGTCCATGGGGTTGCAGACTCGGCCATGACTGAGCAACTTAGCAGGCACACAGGTAAAGATTACCATCAGCAGAATGCAGAACTGAAGTGGTGGCAGAATAGACCTGGAGAATCAACTGAGGCCTGAGAGAAGGGATGAGAGGCTGTTTTTCATGGAAAGTTATTCCAGGCTTTTAAAATGTTTTTATTTATAATTTTGTGTATATATGTGTGTATACACACACACACTTTTTTTTTTAACCTAAAAAATTTAAGAAGGAACCCCCTGTGGGGCAGGAAAATGGAGCATTTCCTCCTGGTTTCCTGGGGATGCAGCCAGGGCTACGTTCTCAGACCGAGTCCCCAGAAATGGGGCCAGTTAGCCTTCCTAGCGGTCATATGACGGTAGGCATTTCCCGGCATGCTGCCTTGTCTTTTGTTGCTGTTCTTGTGTTTTTTTAACAATAGAAATGCTGGTGTGAATACTGTGAGGTGTGGCCCTCTATCCTGGCTCCAGGCCACCCAGACACTAGAGAAAACCCAGCTGTCTTTTCCGATCACGGTGGGGGGTCCCTGGAGCAGGACAGGGACGTGCCACCGGCAGGGAGAGGCGAGGGTGTGTGAGTGACAGGTGATGACCCTGCCCAGCTGGCTACATGAGGCTGCTGGAGCCGGTGTGGGAAGCTTGCCCTTTAGGTCAGTGTGGTCAGCTCTCTGAAGCCTGCTGCCCCTGGCACCGTCCCCAGAAGCATCCTGTCCCCTCTTTGCTGTGGACGGAGCTATCCCCCAGAAGGAGGGTTGGGAGGAGCATTGCACAGGGTGCCCGGGCTCTGAGGGGCCCAGGATCCAGGGAGAATCACCAGGGTGGGCAGGGCGTTAGACAGAGAGTGTGGCCCCCGACTTCCCTCCTCTGCCTCAACCCCCGGGGGCCCAGGGCACCTCCTTCCCATGTCCCTGGGATCCCAGGTCTCTGCCAGAAAGGGCTTTGTAGTCAAATAGAGTTGGAAATCCTGCCTCCTCTCCCCACCTTTGGAGATCACACATCAGCTTGGAGAATGCCTGGACTGGACCCCGTTTAACTTGGTGTTTCTGTCCTGTGTGTATTTGCCCACATCATACTTAAGCTTCTCTGGCTCTGGCTTCTTCTCTGGTTTCTCTTCTCTGGCTCCGTAGTGGTGCTCACCTCAGGGGTGATTTTGCCTTCCAGGGGACATTCTTGGATGTCACCAGTAGGGGGCGGTGCTACAGACATCTAATGGGGAGAGGCCAGGGATGCCGCTCAGCCAGAGGGCGGTGCATGTCAGCAGTGCCCGCTCAGAAGCTCTGTTCTAGAAAGACTCAGAACCTCAGCTCAGCACCACTCGGGGGTCAGATGATGGACTACAGCCTATGACAATGAGAAGCAGCCACAAAACATGCAGGACCCCAGCTCTGGATTCTCAGACCCACATTTTTGGGTTGATTTTGTTTTGTTTTTAAGATTTGTTTGAAGATAGCAGTTTTATTTAATTAATTAATTGTTTTGACCATGGCATGTGGGATCTTCCTGACCAAGGATGAAACCTGCACCCCCTGCAGTGGGAGTGCGGAGTATTAGCTGCTAGACCACCAGAGAAGTCCTCAAACCCATGTTTTATTTCCCAGTTTTAATATCTTGGAAATCAGTGATGTGTCCTAGTCTAATTGGAAGCATCCTTTTTTTTTCTTTCTCACTAGTACTTAAAATAAGGGTGTCTCTAACAACCAGTGATATCTTAGATTTGTGACATTGCAGCTCCTTAGATTGAGGCCTCAGGCACATCCCTGCTCCTTGCCAGGCCTCACCTTGCCCACTTATAAACGGGAGGAAGACATGGCTGAGGTCCTGTCCAGCCCTCCATGGTTGTGGTTTGTGGTCCTCTCTACCCTGGGACGTGAACACATGCGTCAACTCTCCATCCGGCCTCTGGGGTGGAAGAGAAGAGAACCCACCAGTTAGGCTAGGGGAGGATCTGTGATAACCTGACATCTTCTCTTCTGGTTTTTAAATAGAATCTTGAAAAATAAAGGAATAGCTAGGTTGGTATTTCACCCTACAGGGGAGCAGCACCAGGATTTTCCCAGCCATTCTTTCCTTCACTTTTATAAGCAGCTTTCAGGCGATTGAATTTTATTGTGGAGAGAGAAACAGACTTGATGAAGACATGAGGTTGCTTCAAAAGCTGACCATCCCTATCCTTGGGTTCCTAGAGCTGTGGGCGCCTTGCCTGGAGACCACTCAGGGCCCTGGACTGAAGCCCCTTTTGTTCTGCTCCTGCTTCTGCAGAGCAGCAGTGATGGAGCGGAAGCCTTTCCATTCAAAAAGTGTGCAGACGTTGTTTTCAGTACTGGGGGTACATCTTCAGGCAAGCCAGACTTGTGGGGTCCCTGGTACCAGGAGCTACATTCTAATGGGAAAGTTGGATAAACCAGCAAACATGAACTTGATCAGATGTTTGTTCATGGACATCTTGATCAGATGGTCCAACTTGATCAGATGGTCAGCAGGACAGAGCATTTGACTGGGGCATTAGGGGCAGCCTCACTTTAGGTCAGGCTTTAAAGACATGGAGACAGCATGTGTGGAGGGTGGTGGTAGATTGTTCTGGGCCAGGGGACAGCTGGTGCAAAGGCCCTGGGGAGGAAGTGACCTTGGCATATTTGTGAATGGAAATCAGACCAGTGTGGCTGGAGGGTGGGGGACAAGAAGAAGGGTGGTAGGTGATGGGGGAGGGGAGTCAGGGTCCAGAGGAAGGTGTTGTTGGGGTTTCCTTCTGAGTGTGAGGGCTGGGATGGGGGTGAAAAGCAATGGAGGTGTCTTGTCTTTCTAGGAAGCTGCCTACTTGAAGCCACTGGGCAGCGCTTGGTTAGCAGTGATGGGGTTGGGGGTTACCTGCAAGGTGGGTGGGGGCATAAGGATGATGTGGAAGGAAAACATAATCACGTTTACTGACTACAAACATCCCATATGGTCGTTCCTGAAGATCATGGAAAAACAGGCCAGGAAGAATATAGGTGGGAACCACAAGTGACCCCAGCCAAGCCAAGCTTAGATAATGCCCCTTCAAGGAGGCAGAGAGGTGGAGGTGACCATGGGGCTCAGGTTTACTTTTTTTCTTTTGGCCACACCACTTGGTTTATAGGATCTTATATCCTCGACCAGGGATCGAACCCATGCCCCTGGCAGTGAAAGCCCAGAATCCTAACCACTGGAAGTGCCAGGGATTCCCTCAGGTTTACCTTTGAGTTGAGCTTCTAAAGAGGATTGGAAGGACCACTATGGACAGGGCCAGTTCGTTCTTCTTAGTGCAGGTTTGTCAGATGCTTGAAGCACAGCCGGGTTATAGCTGGGGAGAGAGGCCTGAAACACAACCAGTACCCACCCCCCACAATCTGGACTCCACCCTTGGAATGTTGGGGGCCACTTTGAGTCAGCGCCGGACCCAGGACTTTCGCTGTGTGGCCTCCTCTCAGATCACAGTGGGAGCTGTGTTTATTCAGTAACTTTATTAGAAGCATTTAATGCCAGGGTTTCCCGGTGGGGTCCATGTAAGTCAGCTTGAAACCCCAACAGAATACCGAAGGCTCTGTTCAGTAACTACTGAATGTATTAAAAACCATCTTTGGGCTGGTTTAACATGCCATGCAGCAGTAATGATTTATATGGAGAGAAATAGTAATAGGCAGATGGAAAGAAAAACACGAGTGAAAAATGAAGTTCTGGGAATTTCAGGTATGAGTTGCTGGGTCCAATGGATGCCAGCACAGACTAGTTCTGTCCTCTAGAACTTTCTGCACTAACGGAAATGTTCTGTCTCTACCCTGCCCAGGATGGTAGCCATTGACCACATGCGGCTCCCGAATACTTGAAATGTATCTGCTCTGCCTGAAGAATGAAGTTTTCATTTTATTTAACTTAGTACTTTTCAAGTTCTAGAATAATTTTAGGCTTACAAAAGAAAATTGTGAAGACAGTACAGAGAGTTATTATATAGCCTGTACTCAGTTTCCCTTAATTTTTATTTTTTATTTTTTGTGGCCACACTGCATGGCATGTGGGATCTTAGATCCCCAACCAGGGATGGAACCCATGCACCCTGCATTGGAAGGTGGAGTCTTAACCACTGAACTTCTGGGGAAGTCCCTCCCTTAATGTTAATCACATTACATAACCTCAGTCCATTTATCAAAACTAAGAAATCAAGGTAGTACAGTGTTATTAACTAGTCTGAATTTCATTTGATTTCACCAACTTTTTCAGTGTTGTCCTCCTCCTGTTCTGGGATCCCATCCTGGGTACCACCCTGCATTTGGATTATATTTAAATGTAACGTGTTAGAATTTGAATAGCCACCTGTGAGTGGTGGCTGCCCTGTCA